AATATAAATTGTTGGAAATTGTTCTGATTTCATTAGAACAGGAAAACAGTGTAACTACATAGAATGTAAGGTAACTTTACAATTGAAGTGATCAACCATTGCTTTTTTGGTTTGGTCTAGACCACACACACAATGACATGCCAATCGGTGGGGGGCAAGGAAAGTAGAGCCAAACAGAAGTGGGGCTGCCACTTTTTTTTCCTGATAAGTTCTTTTGCCACTTATTACTGTAGGTAGAAATTTTCTGCTTTGGCCAGAACTACTGACTGATTTTTTTCTCCAAAAAGTTGAAGTTTGATTTAGAATCAATTAAAATTAAGCTAAGATTTTCAATCACTGCTTTAGAAAAACCGTAGGTAATTAAAATAGTTCACCACTAAGGTGTTTGAGGGAAGTTGTTCCTTAAAATTCACTAATTGTCCAGTAAATTGATTTTCTCTCTCTCATCTGGTATTAATAAGATGAAGCTAACCTGCTAAAGGGCAGAAATGGAGGCTATTGTTGGTTTGTCTATTAATTCCCCTCTGCCTTGGCTTGAAAATAATGTAGTTGCAAGGCTTTTACTATCCACAGTTCCATTATCCCTGGTTTCCCAGATCTGTGCTTGGTAAATAAGATGATACCTCATTATTCATGGTTAAGGGCTCATGTTCCAGCAGTTTTTGTAAGTTTTGATCAGTATATCTTGCATGTTTTTTTGCATATAAAGTAATAGATGTGCATGTAAAGTAATAGAAAAAAATGTGTGTTTTTCCCCCAAAAAACTCTGAGCTTGTTAGAGTGGAAAAGAAGCTCTACAAATAATAAAACCTACCCACCTCGGGCCACTATATAACCTTATATAGTGAGAGAATGAGCAAAGGATCAAAGGAAACATGAAAGCTGGCCAGAGGAAGAGGAAAATTGGTTTCCTATCCTGTTAATGAGTGCAATATCTCCAAACTCACACTGTACATCACCATACTCTTCCCTAATTGTTTATTAACAGTTTTTATAGTCTTCCTCAATCTGAAAACTCTACACTCAGATTGCAACATGCATGGAAGATAAATATGGCTTTTTAAAACATCTTATAATGAGCTACCTCGGGGCAAGTTTTCCCCATCCCTCCTTAGCCTTATTTGGATAGCCATGTTGGACAAATGTGAGCTTTGACTGGCGTAAACCTCCTCTTTTCCTTTCTACTCCTTTTGCCCCAAATAGGAGTCTTCATGGGGGCCCAACCGCTGCCCTTTGCTGCCCAGCCCTCGGCTCATTTTCCAGCGTTTCCAGCCATGGGAGGCCCTGTGCCTGTGCCTGTACCGGTGCCAACGGCCCCCACAATGATGGGAAACATGATGGCCCCACCAGTGCCTGTAATTGGACAGAATGTAGGCATGATGGTGGGCATGGGAATGCCGAACGGCTTTTCAGTCACTACACAAACTGCTGGTTTGGGACTCCCTCAAAGCATTGGTGGGCCCCAAGGAACAGTATTGGGACAGATACCCCAGCCACAGAAATACGGCATGCAGCCGCAAACACAGCAAACTCAGTGGAACCTTTCACAGGTGAGTATGCGCTTTTGCTGTTCGTTTGGGAGAGAACGTGGATGGCTGGAGAATTTAGGGGTAGGATTCAAATGCCAGTAGTTGGGATTAATTAAATGGGGAAAAATTAATCGAAGCATTATATTAAAATAAGAAAATTAGCTACCAAAGATATTTGAAAAATCTTGATTTTTTTCCCCCTTTTTAGTTGAGAAATAGTAACCGTGTTACTACTTCTACTTTTTCTACTTCAGAAAACTAAGTGCAGATCCATGCTTCCTTCTTGGTCCATCATTCACTGCTAGCCTCGCATTCCCAGCCCACTGGAAACACATCCTGCACTGTTTATTTCAAATAAAAAAACAGTGTTGTTGTTTTTAATCGGAACTGTCTTGAGCCCTTCAGAGCAGATGGGAGGCTGCAGCGCCTGGCCCACCCTCTCTCTCTAGCATCTGGTTGCTGCCCTGGGAAGCTGTTTCATCTTGGGCTGTTGCTAGGCAATTGCTGACTTTTTAAAAATCTTTTTTAAAGTGTGTGGATGACCCAGTGATGTAATGCCAAGCTCGTGCACTTTCCTAAAAGCTCATAATTCATTCAAACCTTACGTTTCTGAGAAGGGACCCTTTCAGTTTCTACCCAGCCTTGCTTTCCCATTCCCTGCCAATAGTAGCTTTGTTTTTCCCCCCAACGTTTTAAAATTACAACCTAGCAACAGCTACTTCTTTTCTGTAAAGCCTACTACAGGTAGTCCTCCACTTATGACCACAATTGAGCCCAAAATTTCTGTTGCTAAGTGAGACATTTGTTAAGTGAGTTTTGTCCCATTTTACGACCTTGTTTGCTACAGTTGTTAAGTGGATCGCTGCAGAAATTAAGTTAGTAACAACGGTTTGTTAAGTGAATCTGGCTTCCGCGTTGACTTTGCTCCTGTCACAAAAAGTGATCACATGATCCCGGGACGCTGCATAAATATGAGTCAATTGCCAAACATCTGAATTTTGATCACGTAACCATAGGATCACAACAGCCGTAAAAATGGTCATAAGTCACTTTTTCCAGTGCCTCTGTAACTTTGAAAGTAAGTCGAGGACTACCTGCACAAATTACGGATATTAATATGGCCTGTGATGATTTCCCTTTTTCTTTTTCTTACATTGGTTCCTGGATTGGGTCTTTTCATTGTGCTTTTTCACCTTGATTCTAACAGCCAGCTTCTCGTCCCTAACACAGTTGTAATTTAAGAGAACGGAGGACCGAATATGACATACAAACCCTTTGAAGATGCAGGTGGCTAATGTCCTGTCTCTTCCATGCTCCAAGTCCATATATCCTGAAGATGGGCTATGCTGACTGGAGCTAATAAGGTTTTCAAGTCAAACATCCTTTCTGGTGGATACTTTTGGGAAAGGCCTCTAGAGGGATGGGAAAGCAAGATCTGATTCAAGAATGCTAATAGGTTTTCAGAGCAAGAGAGGCCTTGCAGTATGATTTGCTTTCTCAGCATCCAGTCATTTACACTCCATTCTAATCCTGATCTTTTGGTTTTGTTGTATCCCTCATTCTCTTAAATTCAGCAAGATTCGGCCCCCGTTTTTCCAACTCTTGATAGGGTGGATAGTTTTTGAACAATTTACATTTTGAATAATTTTTTACATTTTTTAAATTTTAAATTTTTGCACCACCTGACTCCCAGCAACTGGTGCAATTTACTTTGCCTTGGCATCTGTATAACTTCAGTCTCTTCAATCTTTACTGCTACCCCAGCAATGATCCGTTAAAACTAGTTAAGACTTGAACAAATCCTTTTACTCATGATTACATTTGACAGTGAAGTGAAAATTATGGCACGCCATGGGGTTTTACTTTGGTACTACTCAGGCATTTTTATAAGAGGCATTTAAAATGCATAGTAACCAGATTTCATCTTTTTATCTGGAATGTAACTATTAAGTAAGTGTTGGAAAGGCAGAATATAATTATCTATATTTATCTTTTAATTGAAAGTCATTTCACTTGCTGCCAGAGTGTTACTTCAGTGCTTTGATAAACTGGGCAGGAAACAGTTCCCCGAGTATGATTCCATGCCAGCATTGCTATTGAAACTGCAACATTGATCACTCAACCATGATTATTTCCTGTGGGCATTAATGGAAAAACATGATATGCCCATGGATTGCAATGTGCACATTACCCCTATATTTTCCTAGTATATAAAAGTAGTAGTATTCTGCCAAATCTCTGATATTTTTAAAAGGTTATATTTAGGATGCATTTCTTAAATAAAATTATAAAAAAACCTTTAGCTGTGAGAAATTAATGTAAGCAAATACACCAGTATCTATCTATCTGTCTGCCTATCTGTTCTTATCCTGTCTTATATCTGTACCAATCTGTCTATCTGTATCTATCCATCCTGTCTGTCTATCTTATCTATCTATCTTTCATGAAGTAATGGGCTTAAGCATAAAATTCGAATGTTCTGATACATGCACCTAACCACAGTCTTGTGTGTGTCTTTCACAGATGAATCAGCAAATGGCTGGAATGACTCTGAATAGTTCCAATAATATGATGGGCTTCGGCCAACCACCCAACACAGTGGCAGGATGGACTGGAAGTTCCTCGGGCCAAACCCTCAGTACACAACTCTGGAAGTGAAAAGGCAATAGAAGTTTAAATCAGAGACCTGACATTCCATGCCCAAATACATCTAGTTTCCCTGTTCTATCCATGTACACTACCCCTTCCTCCAATTTCAAACATTCATTTTAAAAGTAATCTTTAACTGACCGTGTTGTGGTCTGTACTGACTTCAATTCTGATGTAGTGAAAAGCAAGTTGAATACATTGGCAGCTTTTTTCATTCCACAATAAGTTTTGATTTTGCAAATCTTACTTTTTCAGAAGAGCTAAGTGACCAACTGCATACTCAAAATTATTTTATCTTGTAGAGCAAATGTTTCCATATAAGGGAAATAGGTATCATGTTAGTGCTATCTCTAAAATGTAAACTCCACCTTGCAAATTACCCAGTAATCCTGTAGAAGGTACTGTATGAACCAAACGTTCATTATATAAATAAGAATGTACCTTGTATCATTGAAATATGCATTTCCTTGTGTGATAATGATTTTGTTTCATCATACATTTCACTGTGATATTATAATGATGTGATGAACAGGGAAAATGGTTCGCAAGAGAGAGATTAACCTGGTCGGTCCTATGGCTCCATCAATTTTCTTTCCACTGTTTGAGTTACCTGTATCAAAAGAAGCTGATCTGACCGACAGAGATCTGTACAGGATTAATCAGCAGTAAACTGCACAGCAACTATACAGGGTAACTCAAATTGTATATTTAATTTTGTCTTTGCAGTTGTATCCAGGTTTCTGCCAGTAAATTGTGTTTACATTTTATGGTGCCTCATATTGATAAACGGTTGCTTCCCTATATTAAAGAAATCCATAAACATTGTGTAATTATTTTATTCTATAAGAATTGTGTCTATTCTTTAAAAACAATACTTTTTAAATTCAGGAATAAACCTGGAAGCCACGGCGTAAAAGCTTCTCTTTTTTTTAGACTAATAACTTTTCAGTGCATTACCACCTCTTCACTGAACCATGTGTAAAGGAAATGGGAACAGTTAGAAAATTAAAGCAGGACAGAGAAATGCATGCAAAGTAAGTGAAGCCTAAGTAGACACGTCTTCAGCTATATGCCAGTAGTCTTCCATTAGGCTGCCAAAGGCTGCAGTTGTACAATAGCAATTTGTACAGTCTGAATATGGTAAGCATGTCTTGACGCATCCGTTAATTATGGCATGTCCCATTTAGGCCGACGGGTCACACTTCAATTCTGATATTGTCCAGGTGATACTTTGGCTCATTAGCTAGATTTACCTTTTCTGTTCTGGTATGCCATACGAGAACCTGGAAAAAGTTGAACAAAAACATTAGTTGGCATTGATTCTCCACACGTTGACTTCTGGGGACTAACGTCCATTGTGGAAATAACAACACTGATACCTTTGTGCAGTTGCTGGCTTTGGGCTCCAGTTCCTCCATTGTGGTAATCTGCCTCAGAAAGTCAGATTCCTGCATCCCAGGTTGTGAGCCGTGGCGTCTAAATACAGCTTTGGGGTTGGATAAAATCACCTGAAGGCTTACAGCAAACCCTTCGGAAATCAAATATCAAGAATTAAAATCATTTCATAAACCTTGTATTGAACTCTAGAATTAATTGCGAGGGTGTGTTTAACCCTACCATTTCAAATAAGTTCCCAAGTATTTACTTGGTATCATGCAATGGTCTATCATGTTGTTACTTATGCAAACTGACTGGTGTGCTATAGGCCACGTTTATTCTGAAAAGTTACGAGCTGTGTCCATATCTGTTTAACAACTTTACATGGTTTGTTAAAGTGTAAATAGTGACAGTCATCATAAAACAGAGTTTCCATACGGGCAAAAGGAGAAATGTGAATTTTAAAAAGATGAAACCAACCAATGATTCTTCCCTGAAACCATCTTTGTAATTAATTTAAAATTTAAGCCGAAGGCAAATGTAATTGTTAAAACAAAAATAAATGTGACCGACTGAATTTACAGACCTTTTTTTTTTCATTTTCATTAAAACCAAAACCCATATTATCACTATTTTTAATATGTGAAATAACCTATCCTTAAATGATGTAATTCTTAAGTGATGCAAAACCAGGTTCTTAAAAATTAATGCTCCAACACTGGAGGTTCTTAAGAGGAGTTTGGACAACCATTTGTCTGAATTAGTGTAGAGATTCGTGCTTGAGCAGGGAGTTGGACTAGAACACCTTCCTTCCAACTCTTGTTATTCCGTAATTCTGTTAATACTTATTACAGAGTACCTCTGGTTTTATTAGCCTTGCCTTTCAATAATAGCTGATCTGTTGCAAGGAGTGCCTCTCTGTACAGTCACAACTTGCAACCTTTGAGACCTTAACCAAATTATACTTTTGAATGAGACACTAAAACAAAGTATTATATGGTTGGAAAGTAATCTCATTAACTATATTCTATCTTAACTGACTTTAAATGCAAATGCAAATCTCGTTTTTGTCTTGGCTCCACTACTTTTAGAAAAGTAGCCATTTGCTTTCCATTCCCCAAAATAAGCTTAGCCCATAGTCCAGGTAATTTTGTGCAGCTCTGGAATAAAAACGGCATTTCATCCTTAACATTATTTCTGTTAAAAGCTTTTAGCTTAATTATGAGGAGTATGGCAAACATTAGTACCATTTAAATGAATATATTTTGAAAGAATGTTACATTTGAAATGGAGTAATCATATATAATAAGATCCTTGACACCCAGCAACTGTTGGTACTTAAGTTTGAAATTGGTGTGAAGGTGCTTTTAAAAGATGCTTATCACAGTTGAAGACTACAATCTTTATAAGATACCATTGCTGTTAGAAGTCAGAAAGTTCTTAAAAGATACAAGAACAAAAATAGTGATTCCCTACATCCGTCAGTATTCTTATTCTTGCATCCATTTTGTTAGCTGTAATGGAACCCATCTACAAGAGTTATGAATTAGAAATGACCTGAAATATAAAGAAGTACTGTCATCTGAGTAACACACTGCACAATCTCTTGCGCAACATCTCAGCATCGTATGAGGCTGCAAAGTTTAGTATTGCACCATCTCTTATAGACATTTTTCACTAGTTCTTCTGAAGTAGCACTTATTCCACTTCCAAATTAAGATCAAAGGGAGAGCTTATAGAGGAAAAGAAGGAAGGTAATTGGACTGACAAGGGAAGGAGAAAGAAAAATTAATTGGAGAACTGTTGCTCCTGATTGATGAACATTACTTTCTTTTTATCATCTTTGTGTTATTACTGGGAGTCTTAGAATTCTGATTGAGTCTCCTATTCACTGTACACAGAACCCCTTACAGCCATTATCCAGACAAGTCGGTAGTCTGCATTCTTTCAAATAAAACTGCAGCTAGAATTAGGTATAGGATAATGGCAGCCTGAAGGCAACCAGTTGGCTTTCAAAAACTTAAAAAAGAGTTAAATATACCTTTAATAGTCTTATTAGTTTTAAAAAATAACAAGAATTAGTACCAGATATTTATGGAATAATGTAACTCTTCCCCTTGAGTGGGAAGTCCGAGATGGCCTTGGGTTTCATTTATGAACAACCTACTTAATACAGGAATTAATGTGTGAAATCTGAACTACAATCTGCAACAGTTGTTTTTGCTGCACATAATATGCAGGCAATGAAAATTCTAGAGCTGTTGAAAGAAGTTGAAAAAAAAATAGTGTTATAAACATCCTGGAACATGTCTACAGGAAATCATCTTCACAACTCTGCCAAAAGGGGGGAAAAATCCCCAGGTACTGAGCTCAATTTGAGGGTGTCTTTATTTTTTAATGGGAAGCCACAACTAGTTACAGCTTCCAACATACACATACAAAATGGCTGTATTCAACTGTGTTTAAATAATATCTACCTGGTTTTAGGGTAAGTAAGGTGTTATATAAAAACACCAACCTTCTACTCCATAACCTTGTTCTAGAAACTAACCTGTCAGTGTTATCCTCAAACAACCTGGGACTTTTTGGAGCTAAACTATGTCATCTGAACAAGGTAGGAATATGAATCTGCTCTTCCTACTTCCAAACACAAATAGTTTTATCAGTTTCCTTCATTGGGGCTCTAAGGACTCGGACTGCCAGTTGAGCGGGCCATCAGTTATCAAGGGCCATTAGCACAGGGGATAAATCAGCTCACCAAGGGAGCAGCTTGATCAGGGAAGTCATGCAAATTTAGTCCCTGAGGCATCTTTATGCAGGATTGATGCATATGACAGCCTACATTCAATCGGGTTCCAAGTTGGCTTCCGCACAGTATCCCATCTTAACAATTTTGACAGTCACCTCTGACTGAACGCAATCTACAGACCTGATTCACACACTAACGAGGTCATAATGTGATTTGGTTAATTTTGGCATAGGGTATTACATAAATTAGACACTGTTTACAAAGCGTATTTTATGGCTTTGCACATTACTTATTTATTACGATTATTTATATCCTGTCTTTCAATGTAACTATCTTCCCAAAGCAGTTTACAAGCAATATAAACAATTTTAAATGAAGGCAAATACATTTATAGAATCCTTCCCATAGAATAATTTGTAGTAAGAGCCTGAAGAAAGAGAGAATATAAGTTGGGGTAATTCAGCAAATTATGGTTTATTCAATCAATATGATTAAACGAACTAGCTTAGGGCATTGGACCATTTCAATTTCCTCAATATTATTCATAATTAAAAAGTACAGAAGCTGGTGCTGGAGTGAAGTAACCCTCAGTAATTCTCCCACTATTGTTATTTTAATTTGCTAAGCATTTTATAGGAAGTTTTTAATAAGTGAGATCATTTCACCAGCAATGCATGAATAAATTGCAAAGCAGGAAATATAAATCATTTGTCTGTATGGCCCCTTCCTCCATGCTCACCACTCTTAGCCACACTCCCATGAATCAAAATGCAAAACTTTTATAGTTGTGCAAGCATAGATCTGTGACTGCATCAAAAGCAATTCAGACAGCACTTGAAATGCCTTTAGCATACACAAGAGACTGACCAAGCATGCAGGCTAACAGAACTATGCAGTCTGTGATACAGCTGAAGATTGACAAGATTAATTTTTGAAGTGTTCCTGCTTTCCTGGCTATTGTCAATTTCTCCCTTAAGCAAAGCGTTTTCAAGCTATTATCTGCCTACAAGTCACTCTAACCATATTTTCTGGCAAGTTATGCAAAATTATTCATCTTTTTGATGAACTAGCAGTTTTTACACTTAAAAGTCACAGCAAGGGCCTCTTAGTTGGTGGAATATTGGCAACAATATGCTGCTTTGCAAGGCAGTTTCTAGATTAGGGATCCTAAAAAAGAAGCATCAGCATAGATAGAATAAAACTGGGCTTTGGTGGAGTATTGTGGTATGCTGGCCAAGATGTCTGATTCTTGGGGAATCAGAGAATTCTGTATATCATCTGGATACAAGTGAACCTGGTGACCTTGGCTGTTCCTTCAGTTCTTTGCTAAAAAATGTTACATGTAGGCTTTCATTGAACAATGAGTGGCGATCTATTAAAAGAGATGGTTGAATGTTGTCGCTCCTGACAATAACAGACAGTTAAAGCTACTAAATTAAAATCCAGAATTTATTAATCCCAGCAATTTCTTCAAACTTCTGCTTGATCCTCTTGCGGATTGGAAAGGTGCCGCTGATAAATAAGCATTTTATAAAAGCTGAAGCTACCAGAATTCTAAGTGACTCTGCTTACCATAAGACCCAGGAGTTTACAGGCTTGTACTTATCACTTCAGTAACGACCATAGAAATGTTAATATCTAGCCTGCCCGTTCTACCCTAATAGCTGAGATTCTGAAGAGATACTCACCTGCCATATCAATGGCGAAAGGCCTACCTGCCCGCCAGCCAGTGTACCAGCCAACCACTTTGCCTTTTTCCACAATTGGGCGCTCGTAGCGTCGGCCCCCCACTAGCCCTACGGGCCATACAGAGACTTTGCTAGTGGTACGCATCTAAAGGAAGAAAGCAGAACATCTTTATCAAAACAGGTTCTTTACAAAGACACCATGGAAAGAATAGTCACAATTTTTAATGACGGGGCTCTAAGTATCGTCTCTTTCCTTACCTAATGGCTTCCATCTATATTCTTACTCTGCTTGAAGTTTCCCAACTCTGCTTCAGGAAAACATGGTAGCTTCAAGCCTTTCTTCTAAACCAATCTTTCTCACGCTTAGCTACTTTTAAGATATAGCAGCAGGCTGAGTATTGAAATCCACACATCTTTTAAGTTGCCAAGATTCAGAAATGCTGTTCTAATAATAAGCACGATCAACAATTCTGGGCAAAAGGCAAATGAGCAACTGCAATTAGTTGCAAACAGAAGTAAAGGTTTTAGAGCAGGGGTGTCCAACTTTGCCAACTTTAAGACTTGTGGACTTCAACTCCCAGAATTCCCCAGCCAGCCATCTTAAAGTTGCCAAGGTTGGACACCCGTGTTTTAGAGTAGCAGCCCTCAACATTTTAGGCACCAGGGACTGGTTCCGAGGGGAGAGGTTTTCCCGTGGATTGGAGGGGACGTGGTTTCACATGCTGCCTGCATCCCATGTATAGGCCTTTGCTTGTTTCCACAGCGTGGTTCCTGGGATGCCGTGGCCCACTACTGGTCCACGGACTGGGGGTTGGACACCCCTACTTTAGAGGATGACTAGAGGAGGCAAGCAGTCAAGCACAATGCTTGGGCAGCTTGTTCTTAAGCGCTAAATTGTTAGATTTATTGCAGTCACTTTAGCATGATCAGATGTTTTTGGAAATCACATTTATGTGACTTAGATTTAGAGGGGGAAAGTTCAACTTTACTAAATTCAAGATGTGATATCTAGTCTGAAAGGGATATCATAATGGTACAAACTTTTTCTAGATAGAAGATCCCATTAAGAGTCATACTCCAAAATGTAGAGGATGAGTTTATAACAAAAAAAAGATGTTTTTGTTCATTTCTATTTACATTTAATGATCATAGCAGCTAATTTCACCAGCTAGAAAGTGTGAGACTGACAGTTGCAGTATCATCTTAGGCATGAAGCTAGTTGGGTGACTTTGGGCCAGTCACTTTCTCTCAGCCTGAGGAAAGAGGCAAGTGCAAGCCATTTCTGAAAAACCCTGCCAAGAAAACTGCAGTCTCTGACAATTGGACATAACTGAATGGAAGAAAAAAATATAACATTCTATTTTTTCATAGAATTAGGGGAGATCATTGTAAACTTTTATATTCACAAAATAATAAACGTAATCATTGGCATGAACCTTGGAGATCATGAAGTCCTCTTTGCCAGTGCAAGATTCATTTTAAAAACCTATCATTAAAGGATTATGCCAACAATCCATGTCTAGATGTCTTCAAGAGGACTACATTTTGTCATAACTCAGTAAACCATATGGAAGAGCACCAAGGAATATCCCAGAAGACAATAGCAAAACTTTCCTATAAAACTGCCAAGAAAATTACACGGACATGAAGTTGATTCAAAAAAAATATTTTTTAAAGGTTGGTAAACAGATAATTCTTTGTTTTAAATATTTAAGATGTAAACACTATCTATGCCTTGGAAGTATTACCGCCACCAAGGCATTATAAAACATTATGCTAGCCTCTCGTACTTAATAAAATGCAAGAATACAAGCATTTGGGTAAACCTCTCATGCATTATTTAACCTTCCTCGAAAACCAATTTGGTACAGAGCTTTAGAAATATAAAAAAGAGAGCACCATTAAAAAAAAACCTGAATAATCAAAACCTGGTTTACTAACAAATTGAAAAGTATATTCTGCTTCAGCTGATTATATAAAACCAAGATTTTTCCTTAGCTCTTAATGCTTGCTCAGCTTTCAAAGTCCCAATGTAAAGCCATTTTTTTCATTCGTTGTGAACATAGACATACTTTTCTGCAGGCCTGTGTATAACAAACATATAGTAGATTATAATAAATATGTCTATAAAAACCTTGAACCAAAGAGCCATCTGGACAATACTGTTTTTCCCCGAAAATAAAACTCTGTCTTATATTTTTTGAACCCCTAAATAAGCGCTTGGCCTTATTTTTGGGGAGGTCTTATTATTTTGGGCGCGTGGAGCAAGACGGGGCTCCTCTTGCTGTCTTACCTGATTTCCAGCTCTGTCTCCCTAACCCTAACCAGACCGGCTGCGCATACATTTAAATATTTTTGGGGGAGGTTTATTTTTGGTGGAGGTCTTATTTTCGTGGGAGGTCTTATTTTCGGGAAAACACTGTAGGTTTTTAACAAAACACCTTTTTAGGTCCCTCTTTTTTCTATTATTTTGTATGATATTTTCTCCCAGGATTGAAAGCATGAAAGGTTCTTCTTCAGATGGAGCTCTGGACTTTTTCTGAAGAGTCACATTAAAATGAACAAATGACAACCAATTAACGTTACCTTTTGGCTCCTTTGTCATTCAAAAAGGAGCTTCCTTTAATTCAAAGCAATTATTTTCAACAATTCAAGCAATTGTTTCCAATCCAACCTATGCTAATGTTTACACGCCTGTTGCTTTCATATCACTTATTATAGGTAGTCTCCAACTTACAACCATTCTTAACGACGATTAGAAATTATGACACCACTGAAAATAGTCTTATGACTGATCCTTGTATTTATGACCATTGTAACATCCCCACAGTCTTGTGATCAAAATTTGATTGCTTGGCAACAGGCATGTATTTACAAGTGGCAACGTCCTCTGTTCATGACCTTCCCAGGGGCTTCTAACAAACAAAATCAGTGGGGGGCAGGAAGAGCAGATTCACTTAATATAAAAATCAAATTAATATATAATAAATCAAATTAATATATAATAAATCAAATTAAATCAAATTAAAATTAATGACTATCAGGAGCCTGAGTGGCGTAGGAGGCTAATGCCTCCTACTAAGGCAGCATCTAACATCCAGCTGCCTGCAATTACTGCAAGTTCAATTCTCACCAGGCTCAAGGTCGACTCAGCCTTCCATCCTTTCTAAGGTAGGTAAAATGAGGACCCGGTTTGTGGGGGCAATAAGCTGACTTTGTATAAAATATACAAGAGTATGAAGGCTATTGCTTAACGCATTGTAAGCCACCCTGAGTCTCCGGAGAAGGGCGGCATATAAAAATAAATAAACTAAAAAAAATATCATTCACTTATCAGCTGCAGCAAAAAAAGATTGTAAAAACAGGCATGATTCAATAATGCATCCCGTAGCAATAGAAATTCCAGTTCCAATTGTGGTCATAAGTCATTACCAATATACTATAGAGTGGTGCAACTCTTAACAGAAAACTCAGTATCAAGAGCACTATGACTTCATACTCTGTAATGGAATAGTGTCCAGTTCTGGCCCAGATGATTTGAAGTTTAAGGACATATTTAACAAAATGCCAGAAGGTGTACAATGTCTTTGTATCCATTATGGAATTTCTTCACTAGCTACATTCACTGACTCACAGCCTGCCTCCCACCTCAGCTTCCACTTGTACATAATAAACATAACTCCCAGGCTTTGAACTGAAGATAAAGCAGGACAGCAGGCACTGTGGCCTTATTTTTCAGTCAAATGTCTTTTCTCCATAAAAACGGTGATTGATGAGGGTGAAGCATCCATGCCACCGCTCCAATCAAACTCACAGTGCCTTAAGTCGTTTAATGGCATCTCTATGCAGGAATTTGCAACAATTCGTTAGATATGATCAGCTCCTGTAACAAGACTTGTTCCTCTGGATGATTATGGGGAGAGGGGATGGGGATTATTTGATACAATATGACATGGCACATTACCATTACAGTGTGTAAATCATGGCTTATATTTTGGTATTCCTTGTTTAATCCCAGGTCTGGCGAAAACAAAACAAAACACCATGTCTTGTCCCATAAACCATTATTAAAATCATCTATAGCTTGGTCCAAGGTGTAAATGCAGCTAGATCCTGCAAAAGCTATATTTCAAAGACTTCTTTTCAATACCACCCTTGAGAAGATGAACACTGCAACTTGCTGCCTTTATGCATGGGTGTCCCTCAGTTTCTAGAGCAGGGGTGTGAAACTGGCGGCCCACGGGCCGGATGAATCACGCATAGGCCACGCCCACCCCAGCTCCACAAACGTGACACAGTGAGTTTGACACCCGTGTTCTAGAGCATTTTTGATAACATTGGAAGGTATCCCAGCTCCAACAGTGGCTTTTCAGCAATAGGAGAGACTAACCACGTTAACATCTAAGGTAGGTTGGTCTAATCTGCAACAGTCCTTGCCCTATACCCACCCAAACAAGTATCAGTGGGGACAAGATAATCTCTAATAAATTCACCCTTCACAATAAATAAATAAATGGCCCTTCACAAAATCTTTTCCTCCAGGTTTCGTAAAGAGCCCTAGAATGGTATCCTGTTTATACTCCTACCTGTATTTGACTTGTAAAAGCTTGGCATTGCAGGAAGCTTGTGAGAACTGGCTTAAGGGATCATGAGTGCAGTGGCTATAAAACATCTGTTAGGCTGCTCACAGTTCTCTAATAGAGCTATTGAGACCAGAGAGTGGTACTGCTTCTTAATCAGCTTGTGGGGGAGGAAAGGGGAGAGAAGAGCAACCTGACCTAGGTAACACACCGTCTTCTCTCCATTCTGACTCCAAAATATGAACTAGAAGCCAAGGCCTTTTCTTCTAAATGACTGACTGCCTGTCTTCTCTGGAGACTTAACAAGTTTCTTAGAGCAAAAGCTCTAATGAGGGAAGAACCAATTGTGTATACAAATGGTGCTTGCTGAATTCGTCTCTCTTTTTAAAGAATGGCTCTCTCTTTTTAAAGAACGTTTCCTAAGAATGAAAGTGCAACCTTATCCACTACAGAATTCTTGCGTAAAGATAAGTGACAGTAAAGGTCAGGCGAATTCTATTGTATCATCTATTACAGCAACCCCAATACTGCAGTTTTCGTTGTATCGTATTTCATGAATGATCTT